AGTACATTTTAAAGCAAAGTAAATGCTTGTTTTTATGTGGCCTGGCAGAAGCTTTAACTGCTCGTGCCTATTCAGCTTTACAGTGCTTTAAATGGGGTCTCCAGCAGGAAATGCTCATGGGTCCTCTACTTTTATAATCCAAATTTAAATAAATATATAAAGGGTAACATTATTTAACAGGCTGCCCAACGTGCATACGCTACAGATGTTTTCCTGTAGCCACGACACAGCCACGGACACCACGTGCTCCTGGTGTTCCGGCAAGCTGTAGAAGTACTTTGTGTAAAATCGAAAAGACGTCAGCCTTTTGTGTCATACCTGGTATCACAAAATCAAGATAAGCAATTGGGTCTTTATGAAAGAGGATGACTTCTTAACATATGAAAAAAAAAAAAATTCAAGCACTCTGATAATCTGAAGAATAAGCAGTTGGCAATGGCAGTTCTTTGAAGTCAACCCTCACTATGGGGAGGAGGGATCTGCCATCCACTGGAGTTTTAATTGTGCTCTTCCTACAACCCTGAAGCAAGCTGGAGTAGGCAGGCTCTACCCCTGCCTCCTCGCTGGCCACTGGGGTATTCCTGACCCATAGCCTCCTCCGCAGCTGCCAGCAAGGCCTGCGTTTGGTCCATGTTCTACCTGCCAGATGACTGGACCCCCTCTTGGATCCATTAGCACTTCATAAAGTTACAGGCTTCTCTGGCTGGCAGCTTCTTTAATGGAGGAAAAGAACTCCACCATATTTGCAGAACTCTTTTTGTCTCCTTGGCCGGTGGGCATTTTCAAAGTCACAAAGCCATCACCAACACAAGACCTTGCTTCTCAACACCCAGTCATCCCTTTGAAGGGTGACTCTCTAGCGATACGGCCATGAAGTTTTTCTGGACCTTACATGAGATGAGAACTCAGCCTCAGGAGGTCTTTTCAAGTCAGAACCTAACTCTCCCGTCTCCCTTATTCATCTCTGCCCAGCTCAAATGAAGCCCTGTGTATTCCTAATGTGCCTATCAGACCAATGTACCTAAAATCTGTTCCTCCCACAGCTCCCAACTTGAGAATTTTATGTGCTAGGCAGATTCCTCGAGTATGACTTCTGATGGTGCCCTGGTATCACAGCTCCTCTACATCCATACACTTTGTGCTCTTACCAAACAAACAATATAGAGATGGAATTGTGCTAGAGAATGGTTTCTGTTTATGTGTGAAAAATGACAGTAACTATCAGAGGAGAGAGGTTTTCATGTGCAAACACTAGAAACTTAATTCTGGCATCAGGACACAGGAGAATCCTTAAGTGAGAGACTTTTCAAGTTCTAGTTCTGGGGAGGGGAGGGGAGGGAAGGGGAAAAGTACTATGTGCTCCACGGGCCCAGGAGACACAAGTGTATCTGAATCCATGGTGCAGAGAGGCATTGCGCGTGTGTGTATGTATATGTAGGTTTCATAATTCACTCTCTCATTTCCCGAAGCCAGCTTGATCTGATTACCAGGCAGTGGGAAGTAATCAGGTAGCCATGAGAAAAATGTTGCCGTGATGCACTCAAAGCCGGGATCAAGATTTTGTAACATTATCATGAACACGGTTGCACAGCTGGCCCACAGTGATTAACAACTAGCCAACCAGTTAAGCAATCAATCATTGCTCTCCCTCATTCTCTCTCTCTCCCTCTCCCTCTCTCTCTCTCTCTTTCTCACACACACACACACACACACACACACACACACATTCACTCACTTTCCCTTTACTGGATGAAATGGCAAAAAAAAGTGAACGTACTCATCTTTTGCTCTCTTCCAATGATTCTTCATGTAAAACCTCCCTTTTCAAGTTATGGTAAATTTACACCACCTCCAAAGCCCCAATCTGTCAGGGCACAAAAGAAATCTATGCCATCCATAGGCAGACCATGTACAATTGGGACAAGGATGGCTTTTCTACAAGCTTTACCTTACCCTCTATGTAAGGAACAAAATTTCATCAGCCCTGTCACAGGCTTGTGCACAAGAAAGTTTAGACACTAACAAACCACTGGAATCTTATTCGAAGGTAGTCCCATGGCCGGGATCTTATGGGCAGCATCTTGGAAAGGTTTAAAATGTATTCCCTTCTCATTCCCCTAGTTTCCTTGATTGTTGGTCTTTATACACACACACACATCATAAGGCAGTTAGAGAAATACAGTGTTAAAGCTGGAAGGGCAAACATGCTTTGCCTTGCAGAGTAGTTAAGTGACTTGCCCAAGGTCACGCAGTCAATGGCAGAGTTAGGACTACAACCCAGGACCCAGGTCTCTCTCCCAACTCCCAGTTCAATGCTCCTTCCACTATACCAAGTTGCCTCCCAGTAAGTGTGTTTACATGTTCATGAAAGGTCAGGAACTTGTCTAGCCATGGAACCATTTCCATGAAAAAAATTACAGGTTGCCTAACCTCACTGAGCAGGTGAAACTTCAGACACCCGACTCTCTGAGTCCCCACAGTGCAGGTAGGAGTGTGAGCATTATGTGTGTATAAGTGTGTGTGTATGTGTGTAATACGTGCAATAGTGAGTAAATGAGTGTGGAAGGTGTAAATGTGTGTGTGAGAGAATGTGCATGAGGGAATATGTATATACAAGTGTGTGAGCTGTGCATGTAAATCTGTATGTGTGTGAGAGAATTTGTGTGAGTGTATGTGTTGGGTGTGTATGTGGCATGAGAGTGTGTTTGTCTCTGTAGTGGGTGCACTGGGAGAGATGTGCACATAATCAGAGAAAAAGCAAGTTTTAGAGGAAACAATCTGGATTTGCTAATGCCTTTTGGGATTTTGCCATGAAAATAAATAACATACAGCAGTTTTATCCCTTACCCCTGGGGCGGAACAAAGACCAGAATTCTTATCAGCCCACTGAATGGCTGAGTCTCTCAGCTCGATTTTTATAAACAGAGAACATTAACATATTAATACAGAAACATATTTGGTGAAAAGTCTAAACACTTTTTTGATAAAATACATTTTATATTAATGTCCATTCCATTTTCAAAGATATGTAAATTTAAATTTTCAGCCTCTATGTATAAAATTCCAGTTTACCTTCAAATGGAGCAAGCTAGTCAAGCTTCTTAATTTCAGCTGCAGAAGTCATTCTCACAGCCTATTGTGTTTAAATGGACGTTACCAAACCTGGGTGATATCTACATAATTTACAGCTCACAATCATTTTTGCTCATGAAGAGAGCCAGTTAAAATACAGGCAAGGCAGCAAAGCGGAATAGGCTCACCCCACTGGATGAAACACTTAAGTTTTGTTTTGTTAATAGGCTACTCTGAAGGAAGTTTGTTTCATTTGAAATCAACCTTTAATATGTTTTCTCAGGAAAAGAAAAAACGTGGGTAGTGAAGCACGGATGGAAACCACTCTTATTATTTTACCCGATGACTTAAAACCGCGGACATTGTTTTACCACGAGCAGTGGCACTCCCCACAGCACCATCAATTAAAACAGAAAATGGTGAGACGATCAGATTTATACCAACATGCCTGGAAGCGATACAAGACGCCCACTCGCTCGCCGGCCTCTGTTTTTTTCCCCCTCTTAATTCAAAACTCTGACAATCTAACAGGCACATGTGTGCATGTTAAAATGCTCCCACCCCAGATGCTAGTCCATCGAGGGCTGTAAAAGAGGCATTCTGCATCCTACATTATTTGGATCAGAGATGGGGAAGGGTCCAAGAAAATGAATGTTTCAAATGATTCCCTTTTAGCCTCAGAAATTCCCCAGTTAAGAATCTGATGGCTAGACGATGACAGCGCTGTTCCCGGTTATTACAGCAGTTGTTTCTGTGAGTTGTCTGAGTATTCGGATTAGCACTTTTTTTTTAACCAAGCTAACCTAAAATAAAGGATGCTTACTTTTGTATCACTTTAAAACTTCACTGAAATTAGGTTCTGTGAAGCACTTGATTACAAGTTTTTAAAATAAATTATACAGTGGGATCCTTTTTTTTTTTTGCCTTTTTTTTTTTGGTAAAGACTAAAAGAAAGTAAACAAGGATTCCATCATATATATGTATATATAGATATATATATATATTTAATTATCCTGGTTTATTTTTCTATTAAATTTCTCTATGGCTTCAAAATTTAAGTGGCACTTGGATTTTGGGTGTTTTCATGATTTAACAAATCGCCATCTCATTACAAAGACAGAAGGTGTAAGTTTCATTTCATATGGGGGACAGTTTATAAACTTTTTTTAAGAAATAATTTACGTCTTTCACCCCATTTATATTTTCCATGGCTAGACTTTTAAAGGAGCTTTGGGCTGAGCATGTTTTGAAATAACTGAACATGCAGGTAAGGTTTACAGTTAACTATGAACCAGTTGCTACATTTTCCAGGTAACTTAGTAATTTAGGCAGAACACCTGACAAAGGCTTCTCAGTGTCTCTAACCCTCTTAATCCAAAGCTCAGTAATTATCCTTTTCTGTCCTTGTATTTGCACTTGTGCAGTTTAATGACTAGGTATTAAAACTCATGCTTTATAAGCAAAACCCTTCACTTACGGACACTTAAAAGGTACATAAAAAGTGCAGACTGCATTTCTTTTCAGCCATGCTTTCCCTCAGTAAGGTCACCTGTGAGGACTCGAAACATATCCTTGGTACATTCAGAGTTCTCTACATTCAAGCCAGTGAATGTGAATTCTCCAATATAAACTCAAGAGAGAATAGTCAGCCACAAGATGGACTCTAAATTTAAAATGGCAAAGGCTACCGAGACAACTCCATAGAAACTCCACTGAAGCAGGAGTGAATTGAAATTCAGGTCACTTGTGAGCAAAGCTCATCACAGATATTTTGTGGTCATTAAAAAGGTATTTCATTTTAATTTGGATGCCATGAGTCAGACATCCAGTTTCGATGTGCTAATGCAAAATGCTAACCCAGGAGCACATGACCCCACCTAGGGTACCACGGGGCTCACTCTTCTCCTCAGGTACAAGCCCTCAGAGGTTTACTGCTGACTGACCCCCATTTGAGGGTGGTCCGCCTCTGGCTCCTCTTCTTCCACATCTGCACTGTACTCTTCAAATGCATCATCATCTGCATCCGGAAGCCCCAGTAACTACAGGGGAGAAAATAAGAATCAGTTGTGAGCACCAACTAGACCACAGACAGGAAGACAACCAAAGGTCCCTGATCCAAATTAAACAGCGCTTAACAGGACTTAACACAGCAGCTAAAGATTTCCCACTAGACTGCCTCACAATTATTTTTACACTCATTTGACAGAACAGTCAATCTTTTCAATGGATCAGGACCCAAAGGAGACTGGAGATCCTCTTATTTTTAAGTATTAAAACATGGAACCACATACTACATACGAACAAAGACATTAGTCTGAAAAATAAATATAATTCCACACACACCTGGGATAGTAGCAACAGTATAGCTGAACAGTGCTGTCTCAGTCAAAAGGCCAAAAATCTATTCCCTGCTATATAAGCCATTACTTATAACACTTATAAAAATGTGGAAACTACTCAAATGTTCCACAAGAAAACTGATTATGGTGTATCCATCAGATGGAATCTTATATATCCACTTAAAATGGCATTTTAAAGTAATTTAATGATATAAAAGTATACTCATAAATGTAAACAGGGCATACTAAAAACTGCATTTTCATTATCATGCAGATTTTACACAAAAAAGCAGACTTTAATGAAATACATCCTAAATTTAAGAGTTTTTTCAGACAGTGATATAACAAGGAAATTTTTTTTTCTTTTTCATTTTCCAAATATTCTCCAATAACCATGGGGGAAATTCACAACCAACTCACAATAAGCATTATTTTCTGATGCACTGACAGATCTCTGATTAGAAAATGAGGGCCATTTGCTGGGCCTGATCAATAAGAACAAAAAGCTCTTGTGCTGGCATGAAGCTGTGGCCTTCAGTGCTCCCAGTCTCGTCTGTGACAACAGGCTCCATCTACAGTTTCGTGATGTGATCTACAATCTGTGCAGACTTTCTCACATGGTGGCCCTTTGGTCGATCACTCGCAGGCGACTTTACTAAATGGCTCTAATGACCCAAACACTAACTGCATGAGGACTTTGTTTACTTTGCAGTGCCCTCCATTGTGCCCTGCTGCCCCTTTATCCCTTTCCCTCCACCTGCTTAAATGAGGAGAGGTTAAGCAGAATCTCAATCAAAGTAACGCCTTTACTCTCAAGTTCTTGAACCACATCTCTTACAGAGGCCTATAAACACACTCAGGCCAAAATCATCTGCTAAGCATTACTGATCACATTGTGCATGTGGCCCGCCAGGGCAGATGCAGCCAACTGCAGACACGTGCTTTCCCTCAGAGCTCAGTGTGCTGCAGCTGTCTCAAAGAGGACACTGTTCACTTGGAGGGGAAGGGCAAGAACAGCATATCTCAGCTTATATGGATACCAATCTAGTGTGTGCTTGGGTGAAAGGCAAAGCCCCAAGCCCCTTTTACCCACTACAGTCTCCCTTCTAGATTGTAGGGGACAGAATAAAAGAACTTTGTCTCTGAAGAGAAAGGAAAGATAGGTGGTCCCAATGAACATAGATTATTAGTATTTTGGTGTTCAATTTTTATCAGAAGGGCTGCTCAGTGACACAGAAAGGTGAAAAGTATAAAATGAGTGTGAACATTTACATAGATATAAATGGAGTCCCTGGGTGGTGTAAACAATTAATGCACTTGGCTGCTGACAAAAAAGTTGGAGGTTTGGGTCTACTCTGAGGTGGCTTGGAAAAGGCCTGGTGATCTACTTCTAAGGAGTCAGCCACTGAAAGCCTTCTGGGGCACAGTTCTACTCTGACACACATGGGGCTGCCATGAGTCGGAACCAAGCTGATGGCAACTGTTTGTTTTTTAAGACATATACATTGTTGCCACCACCAGGAACTTTCAAATCACCTAAACTCCAAGAGAAAATGCATTAATCCAACAATAGATGTAACTGCTCATTGTACTGAAGGGACATTCCTAGAAAAGGAATGGCCAAACGATTTCCTCTCATTTACAAATTGGACTGGTAGTGGCTGCCTGAAACCCTGGGTTCAGGACGATTCTGAGGCTCGGTGGGAAAGATCATGGTCAATTAGTAATGACTGTACCAGGTGAAGGGAGGGGAAACTGAGGCACGTGCATCTACATTCGCCATCTTCATCCGGAAAAGATGTGCCATCGATTCTTCTCCTTCATAACACACTTGGGTGATTCACACTGACCCAAACCACAGGTCCCACTTAACACTCTTCCTCTCAGCTTATGGTGGTTTGAGCGAGGAGATCTAGCCAGCCAACCATGAGACCACTACCCTCTATCCCCTCTCCTTTTTCTAGCTCTCTACCTTACCTTAGGAGCTCTGGTGGTATAGTACCTAAGGCATTTGACTGCTAACCAGAAGGCTGGTGGTTCAAACCCACCAACCACTCTTCAGAAGGAAGGTTGGGCAATCTACTTCTGTAGCGATACTGCCTTGGAAACCCAAGGAGGGGTTGTTATGAGCCGGATCTGACTCAACGGAAGTGTGTTGCATTTGTTGCATACCTTACCTTAAACATGAATCTAAAACACCTCATTCAAGGTCTTAGAGCATCAGCCACATGGAATTCCTTCCCTTTGGTAGGAAATATTCTCTCTGCTATTTCAAGAGCTTCTCCTCTGCTTCCTTTACAGAAGGAAGAAGAAAGAGAAGCAATGCTCAGTGGCCTTCAGGGCTTTAAGGCACCTGAGTGCAGGTCTTCAAATTCATTCAGAGGCTGTGTGGAAAAGGCACTAGATCTGGGGACCTCTGTCAAGCCACCACCTTTGCAAAGCCTCAGCCTCCTCATCTGTAATGTGGAAACCATGACAGCTGTTCTACCTCATAGAGGAACTATGGAGAGAGAGTAAATGAAAGAAAGAATGTGGCCATGATCTGCAAACTATGGAGCCTTCCATTAATGTATCTAGTTATTTTATCTTGCTTCTCAGACATAAGTCACTTAAGTCAAGTGTCCAACCGCTAACGGAAAGGCTAGTGGTTTGAAGCCACCCAGCAGCTCTGTGGGTGAAAGACTTGGCAACTTGCTCCTATAAAGATTACAGCCTAGAAAACCCTATAGGGTTTGACTATGAGTCAGATTTGACTTGGCAGCATCTAACAACAGTTCAATTTGTCAAGGGGAATTCCTGCTGCATTAATAAATGCCTCTGGCCCAATTCTCTCCCTCTCTACTATTATACTTGCTTTTGGACACTTCTCTGTTCATTAGTACTGTAGGAAGTGAGAAATGAAATTCAATTCTCTTAGTCTCCTAATTTGATTCATCAGTCCACCGAACCAAGCAATCAGAATTTAATAGTAGTAGTTAATACTGATTAGCTTATTATTTGCTGGGCACTGTCAAGCAGCTCTATACATATTAACTCCTCCATCTTCACAACAGCCCTATGAGATAGGTAGTATTAGTATCCCCATTTTACAGATAAGGTCTAGAGATGTCAACTAAGCTGCCCAGAGCTCCTCAATAAGTAGCAGAGCCAGGATTCAAACCCAGGCCCTCTGACTGTAGACTTCACAAGACTAACCATCAAGTTATGTAGGAAATTCCCTTCTAACTCTCAATGAGATTGCTATTAGCTGGAGGTTAACTGGTTTTTAGTTATTAAAAGTGTACCTTTTATACAGAAAACAAAGATGAACCCTTTTACACATACAGTACTGCATTGCCAGTGATGGCAAACATTGATAAAGAGTGGATAGATGGATGGACAGGCTGAACAATTAGGTATATCTATGCAGGGGAGTGTGCCCATGACCATGTATAGAGGTGGCAAACAATGTTTCTAGAAGTATATTTGTATATTATGTAAGAATTTCCAGGTATAGAGCTGACAAGAGACAAGGTTGTAGTCACTTTTTGGCCACAGCCAGCTAATGTGGAAGGAGCAAGTAGCTGGACCTGTGGGTTAGGGACCATGGTCACAGGGGACATCAAGCTCAATTGGCATTAACATACTACACAAAAACATTGTTTCACATGCTACTTTGGTAAGTACAACTGGAATCTTAAAAGCTTGCAAGTGTCCGTTATTGTAAAAGTTAAGGAAATGTTTATATATTGGAGGACATTTTCTTTGTTGGTTACCAGGGGTGGGAGGGAAGGGGAGGGAATGCTGTT